TTTTTTTCATAAATCTCATTCAGAGTGCACCTCTGGCAGATCGTGTCAGTATGCGCTAAATGGATGAGCTGCTGAAGAGTTCTTTCCGGACAAACTGTCAAAGCTCAGCAGAGAGGGAGAGACGCTGGGAATGTGCACCTCACTTTAGCTATTTAGCTCAAGTCAAGTGAGAAGCGAAACTTGCCAGTGAAGTGGGAATATGATGTATAGTATTTATGCCTTGCTGCAGGCACTATGTGTGTGTATGAGGCATTTGCAAATGGAGACTGTGCAGCTGTGAAAAGTTGTGTGAACAGCAGCTGGGCTGAGAGGAGAGAAGGTTGTATGGGTGAAAGCTGCTGCTGTGTGAATTTGTGTTTACCTTTGTAAACCAGCCGTAGCCACACTTCCTGCTTGTTACTCGAAGTATTTAACACAACCACCAACAGGTAGTGATTAGTACTGCTTTAAGACCTGTAGAGTTGTTTGTATGAGCTGATTGTTAGAATCAATCAGCTGGAGACATGACCGACTGTCGTTGCTTTTGCAGTCTTAAATTTTATAAGGGACACCGAGTGAAACTGAGTATTAGGAAGCTTCTTAATAAAGAAAAAATGAAAATGTGGAGTACATTTTGCCCCTGTCTGCTGTGTGTGTGGTACATTGTTGAAGTCCATCCAAGTGAACGGTTTGACTTTAATGTGTACTGGATCACTGTGCTCACCTACAAGTCCGCAAAAACCAGGGAATTTATCCTTCTGACCTAGATGGCAAAATTCTACTGTGGTCCCATTCAAATCCAGTTCTTTGAGTAGACTGGCTGACTTACATTTCAACACTTTGGCAGTGTCCATGTGTATTACTGAATGCGAGGCTGGAGAATGATGGGGAACTTTAACTTGAAACTTTCGCTACTGACAAGACTGATCCGCAAGCAACGCTTAGACTCAATATTCTGATTAACTTACTCGGAACACAGCAAAGCAGCTTTGGACTGCTTTAAAACGCCATGCCTTATTGCCAGCGCAGAAAAGAAGATAGATCCTTTAAACAGTTTCTAGCTTAACTGTGGTACAAACAAGCGCATGAGCAGCTGCTGCAAATAATTACATTCTGGGGGGTAGGCGCTTGCCAAGACAAACGTTGTTCCAGTAGCCGACTTTGCCATCATTCAGATCTGCTTGCGGATGTATGTGCGTGTGTCTCTCTATGGGTGTGAAAGTATTCAGTGAGCTAATTTGTTCTTCTGATAAGCATGCCGAGAGACTGGGTGTAAGCGAATGCTACCAAAAGTGCGTGCGTCTGTTTAAATACCAGCAGTGGATCAGAGATTTCCCAGACACGCATGCCATCTCATCACGAACAGGGCCAAACACATTCATGGAAGAGTGATTACTGCAGGAAGTGGAAATGGCTCAAATATGCATATATGTGTGTTAGTCTAATAGACTGAACAAGATTGTGTTTAAACGGGATGCAAACACAGTTTTAAACTTTTAGGTTACGCTCCTGTGGGAAGTCACTTTGGAGAAAAGAGGCACATGTAATGTCATACTGATCCAAGTTTCTCCATTTGTGTGCGTGCGCGTGTGTGTGCGTGTGGGGAGATGCTTTCAGGTGAGTGCTCAGTATTTTTAGCTTTTCTATCCTTACTTGTTCCTCCAAATCAGAACCATGTTAGATGAGCTTTACTTGACTCTGCTTTTTGTTGTCGTCTCCAACTCATTCATCATGCTGCATTGCTTTGTGAACTTGATCCTATGTGACAGGAGTCAGATTTCTGAATTCTGTCATTTATTTTAAAAAAGGAGTTTAGTTGGGATTGTGGTGACACAGGTTCTAGAATTGGATAATTATTTTGAATCAAGTAGCACTTAATCAGTTT